TTGACTCATAAATATCTTTTCTTCCAATTCACCATGCAAAAATGATGTTTTAACATCCAATTGTTCCAATTCAAAATCATAATGAGCCATAATTGATAGCCTTAGCCTAATAGTTTTAAACTTAATTACAGGTGAAAAGATTTCAGTAAAGTCAATACCTGCCCTCTATGTGAAGCCCTTAGCCATAAGTCTGGCTTTGTATCTTGGCGGGTTTGAGCTTGTTATGTCTTCCTTTAACTTGTAAAGCTATTTGCACTCTACCAGTTTCTGGTCAATTGGTTTTGAGACCAAAGACTATGTCTTATTCAGCTTTAAAGACTTCATTTCTTCCTTCATGGCTGAAAGCCATTTATCTTTGTCTTTGGAATTCATGGCTTCTTCTTAGGTTTCAGGCTCAGACTTTTGGATCTCTACACCAATAACCAAGGCTATATAGATTAGGTCAGCATAGTTGAACCTGGTAAGGGGCCTTATCCCCCTCCTAACTCTATCTCTTGCTAGCTAGTATTCTATCAAGTTGTCATTTTGGGCTTCTTCAATGTTTTCAGACTGTTCCCTTTCTTCATCTTGGTCCTCATTATTAGGCAGTGGGTAGTTTTCTGGTTCAACAGCTTCTGGTTGTTCAGGGTGCTCAGCCAAGCTTGCTAGCTCCACCTCAAACTGAGATCTCTTAGTTTGATCAAACCTCTCAGAATCACTCCTTGACTTACTTACATTGTTATTAGAAATCTTGCAAGGAAACATGATCTCATTAAAGACTACATCACTACTGATTATTACCTTGACCCTTGGAGCATCTCTTTCCCACAACCTATACCCTTTGGTCCCTTCTAGATATCCTAAAAATACACATTTTAGGGACCTAGGTTCTAACTTCCCATCTCGAGTGTGTGCATAAGCAACACACCCAAACACCTTTAAGTGACTCAGATTTGGCCTCCTCCCTAACCATATCTCTTCAGGGCACTTAAACTCTATCGAACTTAAAGGACTCCTATTGATTAGATAAGCTACAGTGATTAGGGTTTCACCCCAGAAGGCTTTGGGTAAACCAACAGTGAATAAGAGACATCTAACCCTTTCTAGAAGTGTTCTATACATTCTCTTTGCAACCCCATTTTGTTGGGGGGTTCCCCTTACTGTCCTATGCCTTAATACCCCCTAATTGCTACAGTAAGTGTAATAAGTGTCAAACTCTAGGTTGCAGAACTCCAACCCATTATCTGTCCTAAGGGCCTTGACTTTTCTATCTATTTGGTTTTCTACCAAAATTTTCCAGCCTTTGAGCTTAGTCAAGGCTTCATCCTTAGTCTTGAGAAGGTATACCCATACCTTCCTGTTATAATCGTCTACAATTGAGATGAAATATGTGTTCCCTACATGCGACTTGACACTTTCTGGACCCTAAAGGTCCGCATGCACATAATCCAAACAATTTGCAGCAAGATGAGTTCCTTTTTGGAAACTCATCCTGTGCTGTTTACCAAGAGCACATCTCTCACAAAAATTTAAATCAGAAACATAATCATTACCAAAATAGCCCTGCTGTCTAAGTGCATTCATGCCATTTTGGCCTATGTGGCCCAATCTCAAATGTCATTTCTCTGCAGTAGACATGTTAGTAGATAGTAGAGCAGTATTGAAAACATCATGATAGTAGTGTCCACATAAGATATACAGACCATTCTTTTTAACACCCTTAAGCAAAACATGACCATTCTTGTACACTTCTAAGCATCCATTTTGGGCTTTATAGGAACAGCCAAATTCATCTAATGTTCCTAGTGAAATCGGGTTCCGCTTAAGCTCAGGTATGTATCTAACCCTAGTTAGTAGTATTACCTTACCATTGATTAGTTTAATGGCTATATCAACTATGCCTTGGACCTCACAGGAATGGTTATTTCCCATGAACACTGTTTCTTGTTCACCAATTTTAAGTCTTTGAAACCAATTTCTATTTGGACTCATATGGAAAGTACAACCAGAATCTAACACCTACTCATTAACCCTAGCAGTATTAGAAACAATAACTGCTTTAGAGATTTCAATGTTACTGCTTGTGCTAGCTAGGTTGCTCTCAGTACTGGTTTGTTTGTGCTTTTTAATCCATTCGTAACATTTTTTCTTAAGATGTCCTAGTTTATTACAAAAGAAGCACTTCCTAGATTCTCCCTTAGGTTTCTCATTCCCCTTACCTTTCTCTCTAGTTTTAGTGCCTAAGTTACTTTGAGAATTCTTTCCAGCTTCTTTATTAAACTATCCAGGATCTATCTACCTTTTACAAATAGATTACTACCATTTCTTTTTGAATTTTCAATTCTAGTTCCCTAGATTTTAACCCAAAAACTATCAAATCCACACTAGGGACTGTGCCACTATACTGTAAAGCATTCTTTACAATTAGATACTCTTCTGGCAGGGAGTTTAACAAAATCATGACAAGACTAGAGTCTCCTAGTTCTTGGTCAGTACTTTTTAGAGTTAGGGTCATCTTTAGAAATTCATCCAAGTTTTCATCTAAAGATTTAGCTATGTGAACGATGCACCTTTTAAGAAAGCTAAATTAGGTGCTGACTAAAGAACATATAAAGATTCGAGTTTACCCCAGAGAGCGATTGGAGATTCCAAGCCATCCACCTTCCGTAGCACGATGTCGGACAGGTTCATGATAATCAAAATATATGCTTCTTCGTCTACCTCTGCCTTCTTCTTTAGCTTTTCTTCCGGCCATTTGGTGGCGTCCTTTTCTAGAGCAATTCCCACCTTATTGTGGGTTAAAAAGGCCTTCATCTTCTTTTTCCAAGTGTTGAAATCAATCTTCCCATCATATTGGGAGATTTCCATGCGCGTGGTGCTCATGGTTTGGGTTCAAAAGCAAACCCTAAAGAATCAAGATTATGATGATGGACTCGACTCACTAAGATTTTGCAAATTCTTGTTGTATTTGGAACCCTAGGACTCTAGGAACTACTTAATTGAAAAAGGCCCTATTTTTCCAAACCCTAGAAAATTTCCCAAATCAAGAAAACCCTAGAATGTAAAATTCAAGGAACCCTAAACTCGGCTCTGATACCATTGTTGTAAATCCGAGTCTACTTAACCAAAACATAAGATTCTAACCAACAAAACAAAGATCAAAAAATAGGAAAGAACAACACACGATCTTTTACCGTGGTTCACTTGTTCAAGATTGAACAAGTTACGTCCACGTTGAGCTCCAGAATATGGTGGCTCGTTGCACTATTATTATCATAGAATCACAAAGTACAACCCTCAAGCACACACTCAATCACTCACTCTTAAGAACCTCAATCTTTCTGTTCTTGTTACTGTAAATCTACAATCCTACAGAGAAGCCTATCCCCGATTCTTTACCCTCAAAAGAAACACAACTTTTGGGTGGATTTACAACCCAATTTACACAAGAAAATAGTTAGAGATTAAAAACCTTAGCAGAGAGTGTTTGATCGCGAAATTACAAAGGGATTTCATTGTGCAAATTGGTTGATCTGCTGCTTTTATATGTTGACCACCAGAGAAGATTTCAGCCGTTGGATTTGACAGAGATCAAAGGCCAAGACTGAAGAGAGACAACTTGAAATGGCAGTGCATTACTAAAGCCCAATACGACACAGTTTTGACGGCTTCACATATTAACATGGTCATTGAAAAGATTTTCTTAAGAAACAAACATCACTAATTTTTTGAGTCAAAAACAACTTTTTTGTGCTTCTAGATGTTTCAAGGAGCTTTCTGAGAAAATAATTGTAAAATATTAAAATACTTTACTTCTGTTTGTGTAAATGTAGTAAGTGTTTTACCATGTTCTGTTTGGAAAAATAAACACTCCTAAGAATATCTAGAAGCAACTATCAAACACATGTTTTACCAATTCAACATGACTTCTAGTAAAAAAGATCCACAGTACAGATAATCTGGAAATTTGGGGAAAAGTTAGCGACTTTTTCCCACTATTCCACCCTAAGACTTTTAAAATACTTTTTACTACCTAAATGTTATGTTTTCCTCTGGTTTTGGCAGGAAATACAGTGATTTACGAAAAAAAAAAAAAAAAAACCCTCTTTTTTCTTCTCTTCTTAGCCTCTTCCATTGCCGACAATTGCCGCTGGCGTTGGGGAGTACTGGCGACCAAAAAATCAACCAACTAATCACCAATACTACAAATAAACATTCCTCCATCATCTTTCAACTCAACAAACTCAAAAACCAAACTAATCAAACCCAATTAATTGATCAAAACTCAAAAAACCCTAGGGTGGGAAAGCTTCAATCACCGACGATTTGTGAGCAAACAGGATCGAGAATGTTAGGGCTTTTGGAAGGAAGATCCAAGGAGTCAATTAGTAGTGGCAAGGACGATTTCTGACACCGAAAACAACAAGAAATCAGCTTGGAAGTTGAAAGATCGTGCGATGCATGACCGGTGACCGACAAGCAAGGAACAGTGGGGGAGGTAAGGGTTTTATAGAGTGGGTTGTGGGCAGTGTGATGGTGGTGTCTATGGGAATTTCTGGCAAAGAAATCGACCGAAAATCCAGCTTGAAGAGTTAGCTGTGCAAATAGAGGTGGTGGTGGGAAATGGTGAGTGATGATGGCAAATGGAGGCTTGGGCTTTGTAGAAGAGGTGATGGAGATTTTGTGGGTGGTCTCAAAAGTGATTTTGAACATCGGAATCAACCGAAAAACAGCAAAAACTGTTGGCTGTGACGCTACTAACATGCGTCGTCCCTTTTCTTTTCTTCTTCTCGGGCGGCCAAATGTTTGCTGACCATTCTGCCCTCACTAATAACGGACTTTTGACGATTTTGCACTTCCTCATAACGAAAATTACTAAAAAGATTGTGCTTTGGGCACTAAAAGAATATTTAAAAAATGGGCGGATATAAATTTGTCAATGAGCCATTATTTGGGTGGGAACATGTCGTTAACTCTTTGGGGAATGACAAAACTTTACTAATCCCTGTTGACCGCTTAAATTGTGATTGATAATAATTTATTGGATACAACAACAAATAGGAGAGACAAACATCAGTTGAATCAATATTTTACAAACACAAAATACAGGGAAATAATGAAAAGGGATGATACAGAGAGTGACCTATCAAAGGCCAAGATTTTGAAAACAGATGGTACACTCTAAACCAGTATTTCTAACACCTAGGTTAAGCTGCAGTATTATCTATACATATTTGGTCCGGTACGATCACTGTAAAATGAGTGATCAGCAGGGGGCATCCCAACTGACCTACCAGGGTGAAATGTAGGAAATCCTTCATTAGTTGGCATTCTCGGCATTTGATCAGGATAGGAGGGCAACGTGGGGTAAGTAAATCGGTTGGAGGAGGATAGACCTGCATCCAGGTTCGAGGGAGGCATCCCAACTGGTCTATTCAGAGGGTATGTTGAGAATCTTTGGTCAGCTGGTATTCGTGGCATCAGGTCAGGAGAAGAGGAAATGGTGGAGTAAGTAAATTGTCTGGAAGAGGGTAGACCAGCATCCGAGTTACCATCAAAAGTTGGCTTCTGAATGGACATTCTTGATGATATATCTGAGTATTGGCTGGTGAAAACTCGATCTTCTGTTGAATACGTTGACCTCCTATCCATGGAAGGCCTAGTGACAAATTGATCCCCAGCTACCAGAAAATTACCAGCAGAAGAAGTGGACCTACCATCCATGTACGAATTTGTAAGAATTCGGTCACCAACAGTTACTCCAAGACCTGTACTAGGATAATAGTTTGCCAAACTTGGTTGAGAACCAGAAACCAGTAAGTTGGCTCTGCTCTCCTCAACTGCATAATCGGATGGTAATCTGAAAAGTCCAGCTAATCCAACAGGAATCTCTCCCTTGTCCCAAACTTCCGTAGCAGGAATAGAAGGGGTAATAGCTTTTTCAAGAGATTTACTTTCTGTTACTGGCATTCTAATAAAAGGTTTAATAGCTTTTTCAAGAGATTTCCTTTCTGTTACCGGCACTCTGCTGACTTCCTGTTGCAGCGATAACTTTGCCCGCCTGAGTGCCTCCAGCACTTCATTGAACCCGTTAGGTTTTTCATGTGGCACTAGTGCATAGAGTTCATTTTGGCTCCCAGAAACTTCTCCTCTACAGAACTCACTGCCTGAATTTGATGAAAAAACCACTGCTGAGTGGTTTCCATGTGGATGGCAATGGGCCCTCTGTGAAGGTAGATAATGGTCGGTTTTCAGGCTCTCCTGGTTTTGCTTTTCATTGGCCGTAGGAAATGCAAAGTCTTGAGCCAGTGATTCAGGTGCATGAATGCCGCTTAATTTCTGATCACCTAAATATTGCACATCACCATGTGAAGGTGAGTGAAAGCCGTTAGACTGAGTATTGGACAATTTATCAGAGAAACAAACATCTTCTGACTTAGCCTCTTGGACAGTATTGATTGTGGCAGTAGGGCATTCAACTTGTGGTTTGATCTCCTCTCTTTCCTCAGTTACATCTGATTGATTCCCAGGATCACAAGAATCCTGAACAATAAACCACAATGTCAATATGTTCGGAAACAAGATTTGATAAAAAGGACAAAAGACTTGGGAACATATAGACAAACATATGCCTGACTATTGTAATCTCCAATTACATCAGGAAAGGGATAAATTAGAATCAAGCACTGCAATACAACAATCAACATATCAAAAGTTAACTGATGCTTGAATCTTATTTATCTGGGGTGTGTTCAATAGAAAATTCTTAACAAAATACAATCATCTGATTCATTTTTTTGTGCCCTGTTATTGATGGAAAACAGTCTCTTTGAGGACCATACATCCCAATGATACACCATATTTATCTAGCAGCATCTATAATAGCATTTACTATGTATCTAGGAAACATTTCAAGCACTAGTCGCCACCAACAACAGAATCCTACCTTATATGCCTTAGCAACATTATTAATTACCATCATCGTCATTAAGCCCAAAGATATGCAGGTAACTGTAACTGGCCTAAATAAACTTAATTTAACAATATATGCCAGTTTTAGTATCAATATTGCTATTTCTTTGAGAGAGAGAAGCTGTAGCAGTTAGTATACAAATGTCCATTCTTCTATATATCATAATTAGAACATATCTATTTCCTCTTTAGGAAGAAGGGGTAATCTTTCCTCTTGGAAGAGAATAATTAGTATAAAAATATTGGAACATCAAAAGATTTAATATTTTTACAAGTAACAATGCTACAACAAGATGTAGTATTCTAAAAGGTCTATGTTTGATGCCACTCAAATTGCAGATCATGAGGGTATTACTACTTTTGGGCAACTAGTACATATCTAGCATAAATCTAACAATATAAAGAAATCTACAGCTACATACACATATCGCAGATGCACAGAAGCACACAAGTGTGAACACACACAATAGAAAACAAGAGAGACAGAGTGATAGAGCTGTTGCTTTAATCATTTAGTATATTGTGCGAGTGCCCTCGGTTTTTTCCAGATAAAACAGACAACTCTTTTTGGAGTTATCAGAAACAATCACTGCATCTGATGAATAACACACATGTAAAGCATACACCGCACCAATTTCCACATAAGACTATCACAAAATTGTGCAACCAAAAGGTCTCACACATATGCACAAGTTATATATTTATTTATTTTTGGGAGAAGGGGGGTTTGCAGATGAAACAAACAAGAAATAGTGTTCTACCCATTTAAACGATTTGGAGTGAGTAGTTACATTAGTATTACAAGATTTGGATCTCCAAGCCATTACCCTCACTATTTCATTTACGCTGAACCTTTGAATCTATTAGATAAAGAATCAGTTTGTATATAAAACTTAAACTAGAATCCCTTTTTTATTGAATGTCCCAGGCCGATTTAAAGTAAAGAAAGAACTTTTTCCTTTGCTGAAGGGCGGGGGGTTAATCCTAGGGAACTATCTGACCTCACACTAAAATGTTTAAAAGGACATTCAAATTTCACCAGTAACACATCTTCTTCTTTCTTTCTTTTTTAAGTTTTAACACACAGCAAACAGTTGTTTGCAATCAGTTAAAGAGAGAGCATTTAACTGTCTAAATCACATAGGTTCTAAAAAAGCATACCGGTGTACTGTTGTTATTTTCTCTAAAACTCTCTTCCCATTCTCTTTGAGCCTTTTCCATTTTTTCATATTTTCCAATCAGTTGCGCTTGATTTTCTAATGCCTTCTCCATAGTTGTTTCTCCTCCATGCTCATTGAAGTCAACATTACCACTGCTCACATTTTTTCCATTTTCTAAGCTACCTTGTGAACCCTCAGGTAAAAATTTCTCTTCTGGAGCTTCAGAGCCTTCTCTCAAGATCTCAGGTCTACCATTGGAGTGATTCGGAGAAACCTCTTCTAAAGAGGTAGCAACCCCATTTTCTTGAGAATCAACCTTTGTAGGTTCTGTTTTATGCTCCTCATCCTCAGATCTGCAACACAAACAACAGATTAATAATTACCTTGCATCAGGGTGGAGCAAAGATTAAAAAGAAACATACAAGCAGACAGAAGTTGACATGAACCAAATAGAAGAAATATTTTATTAAAATTGCAATATCCCACAGAAAGGGAGAAACATGAGATACTCATCACAATACTACACTCTTTTTCTTAGTCTCCAGTTTTTCATATCATCCGCAAACTTGTTAAAAAAAAAAAATAAGAAGAAGTCATAGAATGATGAGTTTAACACCAACAAATTCTCTCCAATTATCAAAATTTCATTAAGAACTATAATTACAAGCTCAAAAAGCATAGAAGTGCTTATCATATCATCACATACTGGTCATCAATACAGTACTACAAAAAAGACGACACACTAGCACATTTGAATATGATAGACCACCCATTAGCAAGGTCTATAAGTTGAAAGGCAAGAATAGGCGTTAAGGGCAGTGAGCGTGAAGAGGCAGTGAGTGTGAAGAGTGTGAGTGAGTTTGTTAAAAGAATATAAACGTGGCTGATATTTAGAGGATGGATTTAGTGCCAGTTAGTAAAGAGTAATTAGTAGATAGTAAAGAGAGAGAGTGTGAGGTGATGGTCAAGTAAATTCTTCATAGGTCATTAAGGGAGGCTCCCCAGCTCCTCGAACTACAGGGAATCTATCTGTTTGGGTGCTATAGTTTTTCAATTGTTATTTCAATCCTTTTATTAATACTAATACAGTTCATATCAGAGTGTGTGTTCTCTTGCTTGTTACTTTTGTGTGTATTGCGGTTGGTTTTGATTCAATTTTACAGGAGGCTCCATCAGAATATAGTAATATAATTATATTAGACAAAAGAGGAGGAATAGGGGAGGAATTATGTTGATAGAATAACCCTCGCCCCCTCCCCACACATAAAGAGAGAGAAATAAACTAACTTTGATTCCAGACTTCTTATTTGGCGACATGATTTTCCTACACGATGTTTTGCAGAAGATCCAACAGATCTAAAACTGCTACGTCTTCTCATATAAGAATCCTTGTACTTTTCAGGAGAATGCGAAGTATCCTTGCGGCCTTTCCAAGACAAGCGTCTGCAAAGCACTGGAGAAAAATCAATGTCCAAACCTGAATGTTCCTCCCACTCATTTCTTCTTAGTTTTGGACTGCCTGAGTTATCCTCTTCTCTATTAGAACTATTACTGACTTTTGAATCACAAGGGGCTTCCTGGTCAGAACTTGAATCAAATGACTCAGAAATGTCACTTATCCCATTATTCTCCAAAATAGCGAGAACATCAGCAGTTGCTTTCTCAGCCTTCTTTCTTTGATGAGACACAAACCTTAGCTGTTCCTCCAGTTCTGCTACCTAATTCATAACAAGAACCAATATTTGACTATGTCCAGAAAGAGAACTTTAAGAGAGAGAGATGACTGGTTCTTCAATGATTAGACCAATCAGGAAAGACTTCCCCCTACAATAACCTCAAAACTCACCCGTCTTGCCAGTTCATCAGCTCGCTGCCTAGCACTTTTGGAGATGGATCTTTCAGACAGTAATCGTGCCCGAAGAAACTCAATAGTCATTGCAGTGGAATCCTCCATGTTAGAGTTCGTCCTGCTAAATAATTACCAATAAATCAACAAAATGTGGAAGAAAAATACAAAAACTATCAAGTGAAAGCTTCACAGATCAACATACATTCACCATCAACAACGAACATCTCTCCCTCTCACACTGATGAAACAGACTATAAGCTAAAATCACATAACCAATATCTTTTAAGAATACACACACGTATTCAGCACAAGCAAAACAACATTATAGCCAAACTTCAATAGTTTCAATTTAACTCGTTGTAATAGAAAGCCGAAACAAGAGGACAAGGAATAGAATCCTAGTTCAAACACTTGAAAACACAAATGAATTCAACAACAGACGACCAACCCCCAAAAACTGAAAAAAAAAAAAAAAAAAATACCGTATGTTCAGATCATCTTTGACTTGTTCTCAATTTAATTCATGAACCAACTACAGCAAAAGCAATAGAATCACAGTCAAAACACTCAAAAGTATCAATGAACTAATATTCAATGGATCAAACTAGGAAACAATAACTACAAAACCTCATTAGCTCAATTATTATAAAACCCTAAGTCAAGCACAAAAACCACCAAAAATTAAATATACCCAGATGGTATTTACCTCTGATCTTGCTTCTCCTGATCAGAATTCAGCATTATCACAAAGATAAACAGTACCCCACAAAAACTCAACTCAGCTTCTGTGACAACAAAGAGAGAGAAAATCACTTAAAACATCAGTTGAAACAAAAGAAAAAGAAAGAACAGAACAGAACCGAGATGGGGAATTGAGATGAAGTGTGAAGAAAGAAGAGAAAGCCTTAGAGAGGTAAAGTGTGAAAGTCCATGAAGCTGGAAAGAGGAGCTTTGAGTATGGATTGGAGAAAAGTTTTAAGTCCGTTGGGAATGAACAAAGGAAGCTTCTTTTGGTGACCCTTTGAACCACCATGGCCCAGAAACCATCAATTGCTTTCGTGAATTTCTTGTGTTTTAACTGTCATTTATTATCACTATTTGCTTCCTTAAAATTAAAAAGTAAAAAAATTACACTTTCTCATTCTAGGAAAAATCTAGAACTGGTAATCTGTTATCATCTCGTCCCTACAATCAACAATATATTTTCATCATCTAATCATAATATTTTCTCTCTCATCAATCTTTATCACAGATACAACTGAATAATCATTAATTTAAAAAAAAAAAAAATCATGTGATTATATTGTCCAAATATCTCTTTGGAATAATATTTACATACAAATTCTCTCATATAAAATAATGTGTTTTACTACAATGAAAATTAGACATAGATGATCTCTTTGCAATTTTTTCATAATTAAACAGCAATTCAACTCAATTTCTACACCATGTGCCTAACTTTTTTTTAATTCTAATTCTATTTTTATTTGTCAGTGCACTATATTGAACATGTGACCTATAAAGTTAACTATATAGGGGTTTTATAAAATTATTCTTATTTTTTTTATTTTTAAATTGAAAGGTATGTGATAATATCTTTTTCTTAATTATTCATCTTTTAGACTTAACCTATTTTTAATGTGTAAGAAAAGGGTTTTTTTTTTTTTAAAAAAAGGGTTTTTTTTTTTTAAAAAAAAAAAAGAAATTTTAGCCGTCAAAGGTGATTAATTAAACTATTGATAATAATAACATACTTTTAATTCATAAGAACGTATATATCGTTATAAGAAAATATAAATACTATATATAATATTTTTCGATAAACGGTGCACACATTTAATATTAATCCATAGTATTTATCTTTTAAATTAGTTTCTAATGAATTCTTTTGGGTCAATAGATTTTTCTTTGTGTATTTTAATTCTCTTCTCTCCTCCCTTCAATGCCAACTATCAAATGATGTATATTTGATTGACAATTACAAATTGAAATCAAAATTTGACTAAAATATCTTGATTATAAGAAATAAATATATAAGAAATTCTGAATAATAACATTAAGCCCAACTTGAAATATTTACTTATGGGTGGGGGCGGCTTCAAATTGGGCTGGACTTCTGACGGTCAACGAAACTTTGACTTAGAATCATTCTTCTTACTTCGTATCGTAACACACACTAAAGATAAAAATACCTAGTCAAGGTTACTTGGTCAAATTTGTATTTAATATTTCTTTACAAAAGATATTAAAAACGAGTTGTTAATTAAACAATTTTTTTTAGACCCAATTTCAAAAACATATAATGTAAAGGGTAGAGACTAGACTTAATTTTTAGTCATTGTTTTATAAGACATTCATCTTTTTAATAATTAAATTAAATTATTTTGATAGAATGTTTAAAGTATTACTCTCTCCTTGTGGCTAGTTGGCAAGCCTTGTGTTTGAGTCGAAGAATATTACGGTTTAAAAAAAATAAAATAAAAAAGAATGTTAGAACTATTACAAAAACTTTTATTAAAGATGGTTTTAAACTACCTTAATAAATCAGAACGTCTTTATAAAACAAAAACGCTTCTATTGAAATATTATGAATGTTATAAGATATTTAAAAAAATGTATTCTTTTAATATATAAATAGTTAATTTAATTTTTAACATGAAAAATATTAAATATGAATAGTTAATTTATTTTAATAATATAATGTTATACATAGAACCTCCTATAATCATATATTATGACCAATTAAATTTATACTATAGGAGGATTAATTTAATAGAGGTGTAGGTACAAAATATTATTGTTTTGATTTTTATTTTAAATCATGTTTTAGAGTATATGATAGTACGGAAATGAATATCAAAAAGTCATGTAAATATGATAACAACTTTAAAGCTAGAAATTTCATACCAAGAAGCTCTAAACATGTTGAGAGTTAGAATATTTTTGGCTTCAACAAGAAGGTGTTCATCTAGTGGCTTATTATGTACCCAAGATAAAAAATATGCTAACACTTTGAAGCATAAATCATTGTCCAAAATACTTTAATAAATATTTTATTTCATCTTAAACTTTAATGTAACATAACAATAATTTTTGCAATATACATAATTATTACTATGTAGAGGCAAGTTCTTTAAGACAAACCTAGAAAAATTATAACTTATTATAATGTGAAATTTATTCTTATTTATAACTGGTTCAGTTGTGATCAGAATTTTTATGATTACATAGAGATTATTCATATATAGAATATTATTATAGAGAGAGTTCTATATTTAATTTTTTTTTAATGAAAATTTTTACAAAAAAAAATATATTAAAGATATTTTTAGTCAAACGACTCTTTGTTAATTTTGTAGTGGATACTATGAAAAGAAGATGTTTTTACTCTCTTTAATAATTTATGTAACTTTGGACATTATTTTTAGATATGAGGTATTTAATAAGAAGATAATTCTTATTTTTAGATTGTATTTTTATTAAAACTATCCCCAAATCTGAACCATGTTTCTACAAATCTTTCAAGAGATCTTAATGATTTAATCAAATGTTGATGAGATGCACAAGGTGAGTGAAGAGTTTATTAAAAGAATGTCTGGCTTACAATATTATTCATGAATAAGCGGTGAGCACGAGTAGCGGGTAGAACCGGAACCAGGGGTAAGAACTGGAACCGAAACCTACCCAGAACCTGCACTGTGCGGGTAGGTTCCGTTTCCAATTTTTTTGAACCTTTTGGAACCTGCTTTGGACCCTGTTTTGGAACCGTTGGAACCTGTTTTGAAACTCTTGGAACCTGTTTAGAACCTATTTGGAACCTGAACTATATAAAATATTTGTGAAATGTAAATAATGGGGGAGTTTCTATTATTTTACATATAAAAAAATTTAAAATAGAAAAGTTAAATTTAGAATAACCTAATTAAATAAATATACGAATACAATTAACTTATTACATATAAATTACACCATATTAAAAGCTTTAATATATTATTACATTAATATTAAAGTTTTGATCAATTAGTGAATAATTGGAATTATGATCCAATTAAAAGTGTTTTACATTTTTAATGTTATTAAAAGAATTATTTTTGAATAAATAGTATATTTGATTAAGTAATAATATATTTAGTTTTTATTTCAATTATCAAGTTCTAGTATATCTATAATAAATTATATTAATTAATTATATATGATAAATTGATAAACATTAATAATTTAATTACTAGTTAAATATCATACTTAATCAATTATAACATTACATATAGTTAAATGATTACTTAATTAATTATAATTTTATAACATTACTTAATTGTTTATAGTATAATTAATTTAGCATTACATTATTGATTACTTAATTAATTGACTATAAAGTTATAACATAATTAATATTTAATTAATTGACTTATAATTGAATTAATTAATTATAGCATTACGTTTAGATTTATAGTATAATTACTTATCAATTAAACATTTTATTATAACTTAGTACAACTTAATTAAATGATTAAAAATTTAATTAATTATAATATTACATTAAAATTATAGTATGATTACTATAGTAATTCACTATAACATTACATTATAGTATGATTATAAATTAATTAACATTACATAATTAAATAATTACTTAATTGATTATGTCATTATATTATAAATATTAGTAATTACTACTTACTACATAAACATTAGCATAATACTTAATTAATGATAAGAAATTTAATTAATTATACCATTACCTTATAACATTCACATTATAAACATTACATTATAGTAATAATTACTCAAATAAATTAATATTATGATTACATTATATATATGATCACTTACTTAATATAGCATTACATAGTTAATGATTACATATTACTTAATTAGTTATGAATTTATAACACTACATTATAAACATTATTAATTTACTATATTATTACTTACTTAATTAAACGATTAAAATTTAATTAATTATAATATTACCTTATATATTTATAATATAATTACTTAATCATATAACATTCCATTATAAACATTAGTATATTAATCAAATGATTTGAAATTTAATTAATTATAATATTAATTATAGATTTATAGTAGTGATTACTTAATTATTATAACATTACATTATCTATTATATATGATCATATAATTAATATAACATTACATATTAAATGATTACTTAATTGATATGAGTTATGATATTATGTTTTAAACATTAGTAATTACTAATTTACTATATAAACATTAGCACAATATTTAATTAAATGAAAGAAATTTAATTAATTAAACATTACCTTATAAACATTTCATTATAAACATTATTAAGCATTACATTATAGTTAAATATTACTCAATTAAATATAATATTATTATATTACTTATATATTTAGATCACTTACTTAATTATAGCATTACATAGTTAAATGATTACATAATTACATAATTAGTTATGAATTTATAACATTACATTATAAACATTAGTAATTTACTATATTATTACATTACTTAATTAAACGATTAAATTTATTAATTATAACATTCCCTTATATTTTTATAATATGATTACTTAATCATTATAACATTCTATTATAAACATTAGTATATTAATCAAATGATTTGAAATTTAATTAATTATAATATTAAATTATAGATTTATATGATTACTTAATTCATTATAACATTACATTATACTATTATAGTATGATCAAATTAATATAACATTACATAATTAATGATTACTTAATTGATTATGAGTTATGATATTATGTTTTAAACATTAGTAATTACTAATTTACTACATAAACATTAGTACAATACTTAATTAAATGATAGAATTAATTAATTATAAACATTACCTTATAAACATTTCATTATAAACATTAATTAAGCATTACATATAGTTAATAATTACTCAATTAAATTATAATATTATTATATTACATTATATTATGATCACTTACTTAATTATAGCATTATATAGTTAAATGATCGCATAATTACTTAATTAGTTATGAATTTATAATATTCATTATAAACATTAGTAATTTCTATACTATTCTTACTTAATAAACGATTAAAAATTTAATTATTATACATTACTTT